TGATTATGCCAAGTCTAGTAGCGGGGAAGTGAAAGTTCCAGTACTGAAGTTGAATCCATACTCGTGGACTACGGTATGTGTGAGAGACACTTTTGTCACAATTGCCTCAATAGTTTAAGTGTTGTGTTAATGATCAATTCTGCACAATTTCCCGTGATCTCACTCTTGTATCTAAAATTTTTAGGTATCTAACATGATTTTTATTGACGCCCCCGTGGGCACTGGGTTCTCGTATGCAACAAACCCAGAGGCATATCTGGTCGATGATTGGTTATCCGTTACACAAACCCATGAGTTTCTCAGGAAGGTAAGGAAAATATGTTCGCCCACAGGCCTGATCTCTATATTTGCACACAATGTATTTGATAAATTGTTCATGTGATCGTAATATTGACACGGTTCTGCCCAAAATGTGATTAGCAGTCTAATATGCAATTGAATGTTGTATTTAACTCTGAATATGATGTTTTGGATATGCATTTACAGTGGCTGTTGTCTCATCCCCGGTTCCTAAAACATCCGCTGTACATTTCTGGTGATTCGTATTCAGGCATCATTATCCCTATCCTTGTCAGCAAGATCTCTGACGGTAATGCTTGACATGAATGCGCTCTTCATACAATGGTCAAGCTTCAAAAGCAGAGCACCATAGTCATGAATATTTAGAGGACTATAATCCAGATTTCAGAATAAATAACAAAGTTTTCTTGTTCTCTATTCGGTTTTCTTTGATCTTAATTCTTTTTAAATACTTTTCGCTTTTCCCCTTCATTTTTTGCAGATAATGACGCAGGTATTAAGCCACAACTGAATCTAAAGGTGCTCCATTCATAGATTCAATTTGAAATACATATACTTGAACCCTTTTTTCATCATCACTCTTACCGGGTCATGAAGTTTGTAATCATGTTCTTCGAATATAAGGTAAATTCAATTTTGATCGATGTTTCCAGGGTTATTCCATTGGAAATCCAGTTACAGATGTAACTATTGATGAGAACTGGAGAGTTCCCTTTGCACACAGAATGGCACTCATACCAGATAAGCTTTATGAGGTTGGTTGCAACTCATCAGTCGCTTCTCAGACCTGCAAATCTCACGATATTTTCCCTTTCCTGATGATATATTTCACTCTTTCCCATGCTGTTCAAGTCAACCAAAAGGAATTGCCATGGTCAATATATGGATGTAGATCCAAACAACGCTGCATGCTCAGGGGATCTTCAAGTTTTTACAGAGGTAATTTGTGCATGCATGTCTATTATATTGTTCTTTCATGTTTTATGGATGTCATCGATTTTGGTCCTTTTGATGAGTGATGACCTTTATCCCATTTTGTAGTGCACCAAGATGCTAATGATCGGAAACATACTAGAGCCTGATTGCGTTACAGACACGCCAAAACCAGAATCACTCAAATGGGATCCTAATATTGTCAAAGAAGATTCCTTGGATCTTCTTTCAACCGGGGAGCATTCTGAACCTTGGTGTCGGGTAAATTCATGAATCTATAACCCAGTAATATGCTCTCTAACGAGAAGCATATTGAAATGACTAATACTGATCTTTCCATCCAAAATTGAGTCAAACGTTGTCCATTATATCTTGGAATCCGTTAAATCTGGTAAAGCCAACACCAGATCTTATTAATGGAGAGATTGTTAGAATTTTCAGAAACATATAACCAATATGCTCATCATTTTGTTTGCAGAATTACAACTATGTCTTCTCTTACATCTGGGCTAATGACGAAGAAGTTCAGGCTGCCCTCCACATTCGGAAGGTACGGTGAATTCAATCAATTAATATATAATATTTACCTTATAAAATATTATATTATTTATAGATTATAGATAATACGATCTATCTTAAATTTTATACAAAATATAGCCTATCACAACGTGGTCAAAATAATTCACTGCAAATCAGGGGACGAAGAAGGACTGGCAGAGATGCAATACGAGTTTGGCTTACACAGAGGATGTCACAAGTAGTTTCCCATTCCACAAAAACCTCACAAACAAACCCTACGAAGTTCTGATTTACAGGTAATAATTACTACTGCATATAAGGTTTTTGTGATGTTTAAATGTTATATTATCAAATTTAAGTTGTTTATAAACATAGGATATTTAAATATTCTTTTTATGATATCCCAACATGTGATTATAAAAATTATAACAAATTGAATTGCGTACAAGTCATGAATAGCAAAATTCAGATCTTGAGCATTGAGTTTTATAAAACGCATCAGACTCAATTTAATTTGGTGCTAATAAACATCCCAAAATGTTTTATCTTATGTTTTTTTTTTTTTTTTTTTTGTGGTGTGGTTGCAGTGGAGACCATGACATGGTTGTTCCATACGTGGGTACCATGGCATGGGTAAAGTCTCTGAACTTGACAGAAAGTAGCAAGTGGAGACCATGGTTTGTCCAGGGGCAAGTTGGAGGGTATGTTTACTGCAACTGATTTCTTCCCCCCCCCCCCCCCCAAAAAAAACACTTCAACTAATTAATTATTAAATTCTAATTGTTATGAGCAAATTCTTGAGCAAATAATATTATTAATTATGCATGAACATATAAATTCTTGAGACATAATTAAGCCTCACAAGAGGAGAAAAAACGAGTCTGACGCATGAGTTTTGTTCTGCAGATATACAATCGAGTATAAACGCAGCAACTACAGCTTAACATATGCCACAGTGAAGGTAATACTGCTATTGAGAAACACTCTCAACTTTATTTGTTCGGAAATATAATTAATACTCTCTTCAATCCTGAATAAAGGAACTAAAAGATGTGTTTAATTTACTTTTAAAATATAAGGTTTCAGTTCATTTTATTTTTAAAATTTATAATTTTCCATATCGATCATACATATTAAGGATTTTTCCATCCAACAAATCTTTTCCCATGAAAATTACTGACTAAAAATCAATGCCTTGATAAAACTCACATTATGTTCACAAATAGTTAATTAATTTTTTTAATATTTGTGAATTAGTGATTAAACTCTTATATTTAGAATTAAAAGAGTATGATACGATAGTAACAATAACGAGAGTATGTGCGGGAATTATGCAGGGAGCAGGACACACGGCGCCAGAGTACAATCCTCCACAATGCTTGGCTATGTTTTCTAGGTGGCTTGCTCGTTACCCTCTATAATCATCATCATCATCACTACTAAAATGTAATTATTCCAATGATTGCCACATTAATCTGTTGAGTAAATTTAGGAGGTACGACTTTGTGTTTGTTTTTTCACCCTCCAATGTAAATTTGCAGCAAACAATCACGTTTCCTAGTGATCGAGGAATGTAATAAAGAGAAATCTGTTTGAATGTGACTTAGTCTTCTTGTCCTATTTATAAAACACTTCTAACATATTTTGTACAGACTAAGAAAAATCTTAAAATACATTAACTTTCTATTAAAATATAATAGTAATTTTCAACTTTCTCCATATTTAATATATATACTTTTCAAAAGATATAATTACTTACACTAATGAAAAATAAAATAGTATATTCATACTGAAAATTTAATGAAGTAACTTATAAATAGAATAAAAAAACTTCTCTTTCCAGTTTATAAATAGGACCAAAGGAGTATGCTGTAGAGATGGAAAAGAAGGCTATCATTAATTTTAATTAATTAATTTATTGATGGAGGTTTGACCGTTTTAATTAGTTTGTTACTAAATTATTATAAGCTCATTGACCAATAATTGATCTTCTACCATCCACTAATCGTAAAATCTCATCAGTAACAAGGCTAAGAAATTATCAGTAAAATGATCAGATGTTACTCAATGATTAAAAATTAATTTGAATTATCAATTAAAAGTATAATGCACTTATTTTATACTTATTTTCTTAAAAATATCAAGAAAGGTTGGGTTGCTCCAGCATATTTTTTTCCCAAGTGCTGGAAAGAGTATTTAAATATTTTCATGTCATACAAATACTGCAGTTGAACATTTAAAAAATTTTCATAAACATATTAAACGTAATTTTAAAACTCACTTTTATTTCTTTTTCAATTTCATTTCTCATTTCTTTTCCTCGTCTCTTTCTCCCCTCCCCCCAACCCCCAATCAGCTCTTCTCGTCTTTTCTTAAATTTCAGATACGAAAAGAGGATTATCTAATTTTTTTTTCCAAAGAAAAAAAAAATTCCAACCTACACGTTCGGCCTTTGACTGAGAGGCGGAACACTGTGCAAACTCATTTTCCAACCTCGTGGGGCGAACCGGTTAGCTGCCAAGCATTCTCTCTTCTTCTCCCTTTCTTTCATTTTCATCCATCACGTGTTGCAAAAAGATATAACACATTCTGAACATATAGTTTATCAATTTTTAGTAACATTTTGAAAAGTAATTACTGTCTTAACAGAAATAATCATCCACTTAAATAGTAAACATTTTTTAAACAATTTGTTTTCTTATACTAACACAAGTCATCATCTATTTATATATATATATAAACATTTATAACTACACTACTCTAGTTTCTTGAAAGAGTGAGAGCTGAAAAGTATACTCTAAAAAGCCTAGTTTTTTTTTTTTTTTCCAAATTGAAATCAAACCTGCTTGTCTGGCTCTAACTTATTAGATGCCTATTTCCTCCAGACATGTCAACATCTGAAATTGAGCAGACCCATAATAGTTGTAAAAGGAGCAAATTAAAGAAGTGTGTCTCAGTGAAGAATAAAGTAAAATCTTGCCAAAATTTAAAATGGGGTTGGAATATTAGGTTCTTCCTTCTCCTCCTACTTCTTCTGATGTTCATATCCATTTTCAATTCGTTTGACTTTCAGTTCTCTCATGAATGGTGGATGCCTCTACCACTCTGATGAGACATATCTCAGCCCAACGCCCTGCCCAATTAATGCACGATTCAGAGCACAACGTCGCTTGTTATTTCACAAACCATCAAGCTGCTTCAATTTAGTTCAGCATCATTCTGCTTAATTATGCATATATAATAATAATATATATCAGAAGCAGCTCGCCAGTGCTGAGAGAGACTACATTTTCTGGTTGAACCACACCACATAGATATGGCTACTCAATGCAGATTGTTTTGGTGTTTTCTCATTCTTTTGGTTCTCTCAAACTCTGTTTCTTCTCAAACCATCGTCAAGACCTTGCCTGGTTTTGAAGGGAACCTTCCTTTCTTTCTTGAAACTGGGTTAGTCTATAGTGTTTGTTTGATTCTGCTGAGAGATTAATAAGACTTGCATTGTTTTGAGGTTTTTAATTTGTGCGTTTCAGCTACATTGGGGTAGGAGAAATGGATGAGATTCAGCTGTTTTATTACTTCTTTAAATCAGAGAGGAAGCCAAATGAGGACCCTCTTGTGCTCTGGCTTCCCACTGGCCCTGGCTGCTCTGCTCTCTCTTCCATCTTGTACGAGAATGGTGAGTTCTTCTTCTCTCTCACCCAACACTCCAAGTTCGATGTTTTCTACATTCGAATCATTGATATGGACTTGACTCTCAGTCATCATTATTCCACAAAAAAAACTTGGTTTTTCCTGCTAAATCTAATGACTTTAGTGTTTTCATAGCAAATGTTCTAGTGCATACTACAAAATTATCCACTAATGTCTCCAATTAATTCATCAATGTGTAGAGTGGGAGGGGAAGGACGCATTGTTCTATTTCTTATTATTTGTTGATGAAACGAAACAGAGAAAATGACTTTGGCTTCTTTTCTATCCTAGGAGTAGGATGTTACCCAAAAAAGGGTCAATTCTTTCACTAATGTTTATTGGGCGTTTGTTGGGTAAAGCTGATGTAACACCCTGATTTTTATTAGAATGTACTACCTCCGGTCCTATTTATAAGAGCTAATTGACTTATTTGAAGAGATTAAGAAAAGAAGTTAAGTTAGTTATTTGTAATAAATATGTGTTGTTTTTTCTAAAATATCCTTGCTAATTAAGTGTATTGGCTATAACTATCATTTTTAAAAGAATTATTTTAGAAAAAAATACATAAATATGAGAGACAAAGTGGATTGGGATCTTATATTTATGACCAAAATAAAAGTTAAACAAAGTTTTATATTAAAGAACGAAGGTAGTATCTAGTAGCATGATCTTATTTTCCTGGTATAATGTTATTTTTCAGTTACATCTAGCACCTTAAAAATTAAGATATTGCATGCACTAAAAATAAGATGAAAGTGCCAGATGCATTAAAAAAAAAAAAATTAGAGTACTGGATGTATTTAAAAAATAAAATCAATATGCTAGATATATCTTTACTGTGTTTGTTTAACGTTTTCATTATTTGTCTCTTTTCTACGCAATTAACATGCGAACAAATATAATAATTTCAGACAGCATAAATACTTTCCTTTTTTTCAATCTACTTTGACTTTGCTGGTAACTAATTTCATAGGTTTTACACATTTTTTTTAATATATATCACCTCATATTAAACTATATGACCTCACATAGCACTTTAAAAGAAATAATATTTTCTGAATGTCCATTTTTATGCCCCCCTCTGTCTGTATAGGTCCAATTCGTTTCAATTACAAGAATTCAAGCATCCAAGACAAACCGGTTTTAGAGTTGAATATTTACTCTTGGACTAAGGTGCCTCATATTGATTAATTCCTTAGTTATAATTTTTATAATGATAATAAGAATAATTTTATATTAAAAATTTGATGTTCTATAGGTTGCCAATGTAATTTTCCTGGATGCACCCGTTGGCTCTGGGTTTTCTTACTCAACAGTTTCCTCAGGATACAACACCAGTGACACAAAAACTGTCTCAAACATTCATGAGTTTATCAGAAAGGTAAGCTAAATTTATAAATAAATTTTCTTAAATTTATTTTTTAATTTAATCATAAAATGATTCTGCTAATTTGGATTATATATGGTGTTTAAAAATTAACATGCAGTGGCTCTTAATGCATCCTGAGCACGTGGAAAATCAACTTGTAATTGGTGGAGAATCTTATTCTGGCATCATTGCTCCAGCTGTTGTCCAGAAAATTTTAGATGGTAAATTATCTCTAATAAAATAAATTAAGAAAAAATATGAAGCTTGTTATTTGAATTTGTTTTGCTTTGTCTTCTTCTTGCTGTCACTGCAGGCAATGCAGCTAAAGAGCATCCCTGGTTGAATATCCAAGTAAATATTATTTATTTTAATTTCTTTATTTTTTCCAATTAAAAATATAATTATATATATTCCTCCGGTCCTTAGTATAGGACCCAATTCTTGAGTTGGTTTTGGTCCTAAATATAAGACTCATTTCTCATATTTATCAATTTTCTCTAAATTACCCCTATAGATACTCCTTCAATCATAATCAAGTAGAAGAGGAAGATAGGGTATTAAGAAAGATGATTATGGTGTTTTAGGAAAAATATGTCACTTTTCTTATAATTAACTAACTTACTTATTTCCTTAATCTAATCAAATTAGTTAAATGGGTCTTATATTAAGAACCGGAGGAGTATATATGTATGCTAAAGGGGTTTGACTTATAAACGTGGACACAGACTTTGGTTGTGGGAAACCCATTCACTGATGTATATTACGATATAAATTCAAGAGTTAAGTTTGCTGACAGAGTTGCACTTATATCTGATGATCTCTATGAGGTAATTTTCTATAAATAAAATTCATATATTTAATAAGAGTTCATTAATTTTGTTAATGATATTCTCTAATATATGGTTTAATTCACTTGCCTTGTTATTTAAAGCAAGCTAAATTTCATTGCCATGGAGAATATGTTCACCCAAACAGAAGTAATACTGCCTGTGCTGCGGTTCTTGAAATGATCCATCGGGTGAGTATAATAATTACAACTTGAAAGTTTCTTGTATATATATTTTTAATACTAATCATTTACTGATATTACTGATTTTTTTAATACTTTTTTTGAGAATAAAATTCTGAAACATTTGATAACAAATTAATGCAGTGTTTGGAAGACTTGAATGCTGCGATGATACTGGAAAACAAGTGTGCAGCTTTCTCTCCAAGACCAAAGAACATCCAGTGGGATTTAGGCTCTCTTGGTCTTAATCTCACTGATTCGCTCTTCTCGGAGGCCAATCCCATTACTTACACCGGATATTGCAGAGTAATATATATATATACACCCTCTTCCTTTCTCTCTTCTCTTCTCTTCCTTCCTTCCTTCCTTTCACCATTTTTATTACATGATTAATGCCTCATTTCTTGGACCACACTGCAGAAATATAACTATCTGTTTGCCTCCCTGTGGGCAAATGATTTAGCTGTACAAGAAGCTCTGAACGTTAGAAATGTAAGTCTGTGTATATATGTATCAGGATCTGAAGTTAATTTAAGAGTATTTTTGACTGATCAGTAGTTATGGGATGAGGCAATCCACAGGGAACTATAGAACATTGGGAGAGATGCAACAACAGCATAGCTTACACTCATGACATAAAAAGTAGCCTTCATTATTACAAGAACTTCTTAAGTGCAAAGCCTCTCCGAGTTCTGGTTTACAGGTAAATCTTCAAAACAAGTCTGTGTTGTATGGTTTTTGCTGTTTGTTTGCTTCTGAATTAACAGAGGGATTTTGGTTTGGTTGTGGCACAGTGGAGATCATGATCTGATCATCCCATATGTGGGCACAGAGGAATGGATTGCAAGTTTGAACATGACCATATCTACTGGTAATCATGAGTGGAGACCTTGGTATGTTGATGGACAGGTTGCAGGGTGAGTAACATTTGTTCTCAATGATATTATTATTATTATTAGAGCTGTCAAACGGACTAGTCTAACTCATGCTAGTTGTTTCAATAGTTCCCTAAAGGTTAAGGTTAAGATTAGACTTTTTTCTTTTTTTCTTTTGCAGATATACAGAGATATACACCAAAAAGGAGTTCCGTATAACATATGCAACAGTTAAGGTAAGAGAATTATAACCATTTTGAAGAAGTTTTGTTTACGAATAAGTGAGTGTAATGAAATTGGGTCCTGAAGACCAACAAGGTTGGAAGGCCTCAATGTTTAAATATTTATCCATAACCAAAATTCTCACATCAGTATCGGACTTTAAATTCACTCTTATGGGATATAAGCCATGTTTCTAGCAATTGGATTAGCTTTCGTTAGCAAAAGGAAGAAAAAAGGTTTTGTTTCTCATTAGGTGAAATGATAAGATTGAAATATGGTGTGAATGGAATTGTGCAGGGAGCAGGTCATACAGCTCCAGAGTACAAGCCAAAGCAGTGCTATAACATGATTGAGAGATATCTTGCTTACTTCTTCCTTTAACGGACAACCCTTGTGCGCTCATTCCACCAAGCAGCCTCTTCCTAGTGCCACCACAGTAAATGGAACATTTTTGGAGTTCCCAATTTGTAAGTAATAATATGACGACCATATAAGGCTCAAGTAGATCCGTGAACATTTCCTTAGCAATTAGCTCTGAATTAATTTTTGCAGAATGGATCAATCAGTTGTATTTCTTGCCTTCCTTTTTGTGCCTCATATATATAGTTGTAAGTAATAATTTGGAAGTTAAAAGGCTTTGACTCTTTGGTACATTATCATCTTCCATTTAGCTGAAGAAGACAGAAAGAAAGAAAGAAAAACTAAGTATACCTAGCTTCTGAAACTGACAGTACAAATTTAGCTGAAGAAGACAGAAAGAACGAATGAATGCAGAGTTAGATTATGTTATTATGGGGCATATATAGGTAACTTCTCAGAGACTTTCTTCTGTCACCTTCATGTATGGAATTCCATTACTCCAATTGCCTCTCTTACTTCTGATCATACAAGTGGTGTTGAAAATCTTCAATTGGGCTTCCGTCCAAGATTTCAGTGACAGCATAAATGATTCTGATCAGTCTTTCTGTAAGAATGTTTCGGCTGAAACGTTTCCACCTTCCAAGGTTCAAGTCTGATCATAACGTGATCTTGATCTCTGATTCAATTCTCAATGCCACTCACTCTAAAATCAAACACGTTGGTTCCAATACTGCTTGGCTTGCAGAAGATGAGTTTCAGATTATTGTTGAACAAGCATAGATTAACAAAACTTGGCTTCAAGGAGTTTCAACTTTCTCCACTGAAGCTTCAAAGTCGAATGATCAGACCATGGCCAACATGAAATCAGATTTCGATTTATTAATTACATTGACTAATGAGGGTCAAAATGAAGGGGAAAAAATTAATTGAAATTACAGATATTCTTTAAGTGTATTTTATAAATACGATCATACATACTCCAAAAACTGAATCTTATATATAAATTAGGAAGAACACTAATTAAACTTAATTAATTCATGTATTTCTAATGACATTGTAGCCTAATAACATGGGGAAAAAAAGTTGAGTTTGATTCCCTTGTAATCTGATGATTTTAGTGTCTACCCTTCCAAATAAAAAAAAATTAATTAATGTCTTCAACCTACTTTCATTTTCTTAGTTAGATCCTTATTTAATAACCAATACTTTTTTATATTTAATGGATAAAACAACCCCCCTTTTTTTGGTACCATCAGAGCCCTAGATTTTCTTGCTGATAAGAACTGATGGAGTAGTACTTTTCCGTAAAACTTTTTGAGAATATGAAACAACCAGTAGACTCAACTTCTGGAGCCCAAAACTCTGATCTTCCGTTTACTCTAAGGTTTAAACTTCAAAGCCCTGCCCCATACGTCTTTTTGTTTTGTTTTTTTATTTTTTGTTTATTTATTTATCTTTTCACTTCCCTGTCCCATGCTCAAACAGAATCCTAAATAATCTCATTAATCTGGCTTTTTTATAGGGGAAATTGTAAAAAAAAGATTTTAGAATTGTAAAAACACAAATAGGGACTCTTGACAACTTCATTTTGGGTTTTTTGCAATTTCAAGATCCTTTTTATAATTTCCCTTTTTTATATTTGAAAAACCAAAAAAGAGATTAACACTTCAAAGTCGAAAGGAAGTGGTGTGTGATATTTTGTAAATATAGTTAAATCATTAAAATATTTTTGTTTTATTATCAATAAATTTTTTATTATTTATTATTTAATACTACCTCCGGTTCTAATTATAAGACCCAGTTGACTTATTTGAGGAGATTAAGGAAGTAAGTTAAGTTAGTTATTTGTAATAAATAAGTATTGTCATTCCTAAAATATCCTTACTAATTAAGTGTATTGGCTAGAACTATCATTATTAGAAGGACTATCTTGGAAAAAATATATAAATATGAGAGAAAAAATAGATTGGGGTCTTATAATTAGGACCAAATAAAAAGTCAAACGGGGTCTTATATTAAGAACGGGAGGTAGTACTTGTTATTATCCGTTCACAGTTTAAAAAAAAATCTACGATAAAGAATAAATCAATAAAGATACTCACAAGGAACAGAACAGATTCTCGGGAAGGCAAGCTCTGGCTGCCCAGATCGACGACTCTTCGGCGGGAGAGGGTGGGATGGGTTCGCCAGTTACTTTGCTTGCTCTGCGGACATCAATCGCAATATAGGTTTCTTGGGATCTCTTCTAAAACCCTCTGATTGAGTAAACCTAACCTGTGTTTACTGCACAAGCTACTGACAAATGAGGGCAAATACTCGCGACCCTTTAAAATCTGCTAACGAAGGGGACCCAGATGTAACCCGACCCTCAGCTGCCGCCGCCGGAATCTCCGTTGGAGTCATCCATCGGAAGAAAGGCACCGGCGTCAGAGCGTGGCTTCTAATTGACGCCACTGGCCAGACGCAAGTGGAGGAGGCCGGCAAGCACGCCGTCATGCGCCGAACTGGCCTGCCTGCCCGAGACCTTCGGATATTGGATCCACTTCTGTCCTATCCTTCCACGATTCTGGGGCGTGAGAGAGCGATCGTCATAAATTTGGAGCACATAAAAGCGATAATCACTGCTCATGAAGTTTTGTTGTTGAATTCGAGGGACCCATCCGTCACCCCCTTTGTTGAGGAGTTTCAGAGAAGAATTCTGCATCATCATCAAGCCACTAAGGCTCAGGTTTTGCACCCTTCTTCATTTTGTTATTGTAAATTTCTTATGATTGTTGCATTTTATATTTTATGTTTCTCAAATCGCTGTTTGCCGTGAAATTTTCTAAGATCTCTTGATTTCATCTAATGTAGCCCCCGTTTTCATAGTTTATCCAATTGTCTTCTGTCTTTATGAAACTGCACAAATTATAGCAGTTATTACTAGATGGACGTTAGCAGCAAGGAGTCGATTATATCAACATGTGCAATGTCAGTGATAGAGTTGCTGAATTTTTTTATTAACACCTATAGTAGAAATCAAGGAATAAAAAGGGGATAAAAGGTTGCGATACTGCTGGTTCAAAGGATTATCCTATGGGTCCTGGTTTTAAGGAAAAGCAATTGATAGCCTAGTGATGTGTTAGCTGTTAGGGTCTGTCTAGGGGTATGAGCTAAGTTAGAGTCATCTTTTGTGGGTTTTGAAAGCCTTTCCGGCCAAGGGGAGGGGGAGTTCAGTCTTTTGGTTAATGAAGTGTCTCTGTAGAGTAGTTTTGTCTCGAATGTCCAGTGGCTCATGTTGTGTGTTTCTGTGTTGTTTCTTGTTAGTATGAGTGTACGAGGGAGATGGGATTGGATTGAGTCATTATTTCCCTTGTAATCTGACTTTATTATTCAATAATAGTATTATCAGTCCCGTGTTGTTGTCTATTTCTGGTTTTTGTTCGATATCAAGATTATTAGAGTTGAGGGCTCTATCAGTTAGCATATCTTGATACAAGTAGTTTGGGATTGTTTGTTCAATATAATAAGGATCAGATTGGATATGAAAATCGCCTCTTAAGTTCTTTATAGAGTGACTCCTAAGATCCCCCCCCCCCCCAAAAAAAAAAGCCATTTTGATCATTGCAAGTTTTATCCGACACTGTTAAGACGAGTCTGCTGTAGACTTGTGTGCGCTTTATTTCTCGTTTATTTACCTAATACAATTTGTTTTATTTTGTCTGGTAATTGTGTTATCATTGTCATCATTATTCTCAATAGTACAGGAGGGAAATGGCGATGATTCAACCTGGACAAAATTGTATGATTTGGAAGAGCCACAATCTAGACGTTAGTCCTCGAATTCAGGAGGATGGAGAAAGTAAAGGAGAGAGAGAAACAATTCCAAAATAGAGATGGGATGAAGATTCTCCCCTTCGAGTTTGTAGCACTGGAGGCATGCCTTGAGGCTGCTTGTGGAGTGTTAGAAAATGAAGTACATATATTTTGCTCATTTGCTATTTTTCTTCCCTTATCTTCTCACTTCCTACATATTTATTTTTCTGTCATCTCTTTGAGCAGGCAAAGACATTGGAGCAAGAGGCTCATCCTGCCTTAGATAAGCTGACTTCAAAGATTAGTACTCTCAACTTGGAACGTGTTCGTCAAATTAAAAGCCGCTTGGTTGCAATTACTGGTCGAGTTCAAAAGGTGGGTATTTTTCAAACTTTGACTACCTCCTTGCAAATTAATCTTTGATGATGTTACCCATTAAACAAACGTTCCTTCATCTGTGATTTGAATATTTTCTTTCGTGGGGCACACTTTTGATTGTTATTGCATACTACTCATCTCCAGGTACGGGATGAGTTAGAACACCTGCTAGATGATGATGAAGATATGGCTGAGATGTATCTGACAGACAAGTTAGTTCAGCAGCTTGAGGATTCTTCAGCCTCATCCATGAATGATAAAGATGACACGGAAGATCAAGAACTTCAAACTGATATGGATGGCAGGCATGTAATTTTACCGTCATTTTAATCACATTGAATACTTACTGTGTTGAATGTCTTATCTATAATCATTTAATTGTCTGGTACTAGGATACCTGCGGAAATATCATTGGAAACTGGGGGTGGTTTTGCTCGCTATGAAGATCATCAAAATGCACTTGGCAGGGACAGCCATGGAACTCGTACTAGCGCTACCTACAGTACTATTACCAAGCAACTTGATGTAGAGGAGCTTGAAATGCTCTTGGAAGCATACTTCGTGCAAATTGATGGCACACTGAACAAACTATCCACGGTATGCCAATTTTATTGAATTTTTGTAGATAGACTCTTTTTTGTAGCCTCATGTGGCTATTTTTTGCCTCACTTGAAGGTTATAAGAAGTTTTGCTGCAAAAACAAGTTGAAACATTTAATTTTTCCGATTGATTAGGCGATTACATGTTTGAAGGATGCTTGGACGACCTGTGAATGTGCCAATTTATATGTAGGAGATTTAAACAAATAATCAATGTTTCCTGTCAAAAGTTATTGGGAGGACTTGCTGCTTTGCCAGCGATAACTACTGGGCTTGAACTAGTTGAATTTCTAGAGCTTAATAGGTTTCTTCCTAAGGAACCAAGCAGAAGGAGTTGAAGACTTCACAGTATATTGTTGAATAAAAGGATTCACAGAAGTGATGCTCGTATCACTTGTTATATACCTGCAGTTCATTGAGGAGCAAAAAAGATTTTCAACAATTTATCACTCGTTAGATTAGATACCTTCTAAACACTTAAAACACGCATGGCATCTTTTAGACTTAGGGGGTGTTTGGATGAAAACCAAACCATAGTTTCAGAAGTGATTTTACGGTCTAGGAGGTAAAAATGTAGAGTTTATCTCGATTTGCGGAAAAGTGTTTCTGAGAAGCACTTTTCAGGGTATCCAAACACCCCCTTAACCCATGCATCAACGCTTGATATTTGATTTTGTCTAGATTTAGTCATATCATGTTGTGCGTGCTAAAGTACTCCATCAATGCTTGGATATTTGCTTAGATTACTTGGAATAACCTTTTTTTTTTCCCCTGTTTTGAAGCTGAGGGAGTACGTGGATGACACAGAGGACTACATCAACATTATGCTGGATGACAAGCAGAACCATCTGTTGCAAATGGGAGTGATGCTGACAACGGCAACCCTAGTCGTGAGTGCTTCAGTGGTGGTGGCTGGCATTTTTGGGATGAACATTCATATTGAGCTTTTTGATGCTGGGATGCGGGAATTCCTCTGGACCGTTGGTGGCAGCACCGCGGGCACCATATTCCTGTACGTGATTGCCATTGTCTGGTGTAAACACAAGCGTCTTCTGGAGTGAGATTCACTGGCCGCCACAATGTTCAGACACCATGTTCATACTTTGTAAAAATATATCAAGTGAGCCATCAACACGATGATTCATCAATAATGTCTAGGAGGTTTACTTCTACAGAACAAGATTAAAGCGATATGAGAGTGACTTTGATTCAAAAGAAAAAAATTGTAATATCACTTTTTTCAATCGAAAAGCAAACCAGCATAAAGTGTTTGTGACTTGATTCCGCCGAACAAAGTATGATATTCGTGGGTGCTTTTTGAAGTGATCAATAATGTGATTTCTTTTAAATAAAAGAAGTTTTCGCCTAGAATGACTGAAACCTTGAATTTATGTTATTCCAGGTTTGAAGTCTCAGTTTTATGTGTCAAGCATTTTTAATGATAAAATGGCATCGAATGACTGAACAACATGTGATAAAAAACAAAATCTTTAAGGTTCGATGGGATATTACGGTGAAAACTCCAAAAATGAAGCAAGAGAATGTGAATTGAACGACCGAAGTACGTAACGTAAAAGCATTGGGATATGCGTGGTGGGCACTTTAGCAGTAGCAACCGCATCCTCATTATCCATTAGCGATAACTGGTGGCTGCAGCAAAGCGGTGAGATGAGTTCGATAGGCCAAAGCATACTGATGGCACTCACAGTAACAGTGAACAAGTATGCTTCTTCCAACTTGCAGGCCGTTTCTCACAGAAAGCATCCTAAATCGCCGCCCAATTCCGCCGTCACCACCAGTAGAAGAGGCCTCCTCTTATCCTCCCTCGCGGCCGCCTCCCTCACTGATCAAGTCCCTGACTCCAGAACTCTCCTTCTCAAGAGTACACCTCCCTCGCTCTCTCCCCCTCTATTGTTTTCTCTTCCGCTTTGTTTCTCACTGTTGAATTCTTTTTCCAGAATACCTCAAGAAATCAGAGGAAAACAGAGATAAAAATGACAAAGAGGTATACTCTTTTACTGGCTGTTGAATAGTATAGTTGAGATGCTGTTTCTGTGGTGTGAATTGATCAAATTGTGTGTGATATTGCAGAGGCTGGAGAGTTATTACAAGCGTAACTACAAGGATTATTTTGAACTTGTGGAGGGAACATTGAAGGCAAAGCAGCAAGATCAGCTTTCTGATACAGAAAAAGGTATCCTTGATTGGCTTAAATCTAACAATGAAAAAACTCCCTTTTTCATTCTGCCCCTTCTTCATTACTTTGGAAATTGTACATTATTATTATTCACTCATTTAGTAATGTAGATATTATATTGGTCGGTAGATTGTGATTCCTGTTTCTTTCGATCCTGAAACCCCATAAAATTTTTGGTCGCTTCAATCCTGCCTTTTTTTTTTTTTCTGTTTTACTTTATCTTCAGACATAAGGTTGATAACAGGCCTGATCTGATGCTTAGCAGAATTAAACTGGACAAAATTAACCAAAAAATAAAGAATTATAAAGATTAATCTAATATATTTTATAGACTTTTCGCTAAGTAAATCAAACCAATAACTAAGTCAAGACCGAGAAGAGGTTTCCAACGGGAAAATGACATTTGGGTCTCTTATAAGGGAATCATTGACACTTGAGTTATTTCAACACGTATGTAATTCTTCTGAGATCAACAAATTAAATACCATATACTGTAATAATTTGTTGAAAAATAAATATCTAAGTACTTATCTAAACACTTGATTTCATTTTAAAAATCATTTTGTTTTCATGTTTTTCCCCATTTGTAGGTCGCATTTCCGCTAACATGCATATATAATTAAAAAGAGTGATGGTTTGCTGCAAAATTTGCTAACAGTATCATGAGAACGGGAGATTATGAAATTTGAAATTAGAATCAAATGAGCAATTGCACATACCTTTCAGATGATTTCAAAATAGCCATAAATGCATATGTGAGATCATCACGAAGGCAGAAACATAAACACAGTGGCAAAGAATGAAAATAATAGCGAGTGGGGGTTACCAGTAACAATGAATCCAGAAGAAAATATTATTGTGTCAAAAAATAATTCCCCGTAAAATTACATAATAAATAATAAATTGTTTAAGATTACAAAATTTTCATCACCCTAATAGTCAGTCACTACTACAAAAAAGAGTTTTTATGACGCTAATTTATGGTGGTTATTAGAAAAAACATTGTAAAAAATATGACGGTGGCATTTCTGTAATTATAGGCGGATTTTTAAAGGCGGTTTTTTAAATAACCGCCATAAAAAACACTTTTAATGGCGGTTTTTTAAATAACCGCCGTAAAAAGTCTTTCAGAAATTTAAAATCCATTGCGCGATAGTTTTCACTTTTCAGAGTCAGAACTCATAGTCCCTGATATCATCCTCACTCGATTTTCTCCCTCCTCCTACATTTGTTGGCGTTTATCTATTGCTTCTATCATTTTCACCATGTTCTTCCATCACTGTCGCTATTGTTGTTGTCATCGCCATCGCCGTATCCTCTTCATTCTTATTTGTGAGTTTTTCACCTTCATTCTTTCTGTGGATTTCATACTTTTTGTGGTTTGATATGATTATTTTCTTTGGTTAAAAATATGATGTTTAATCTGAGTTTAAAGAGATCTGATTTTTAGCAGATCTAAGTCTTTGATTTTATCTTTATTAAATGTTAGTTGCTTCGATTTGGTGGCTGAAGGTGAAGCTAAGTGACACTATTACAGCGAGAAAGAATCTATATTTACTCCATCAGAATGCTTTTAACTAGTGAGAGACTTCCTTTGAGGCTTTGTTCTCCCATTCCGTCCTGATCAGTAGGATGAAACGTAGCTTAAAAAAACAAAAAATTTTCACGGCGGTTATTTATATAACCGCCGTGAAAAGTCACATACCACGGTGGTTCTTAAACCGCCATGAAATCCTCTACATTTTATGTCGATGGCATAGACGTAGGTCTCAAAACCATCGTAAAAAGCTTATTTAACCGCCGTTAAATGTATTTTTGTAGTAGTGATTTGAGACAAGAAATCAATGGAGGAATAGAAACCAAGGTCTTGAAGGAAAAGCTTATTAACCAACTAGTAATCCAGTCTATTCTAAACTTACGACTTATTTGAAATGACTTATAAGCAAAATCATGATTTACAAAATACTAAATATGCGAGGAGAATTTTATCTTGATTTATTATGTGAACATGTTTATAAATACCCAGGTAAATACATGCAAACGAGTCCTTAGCGTGTATTTTGTTTTTCGGCTTTCTCCAACACTAACGTGAAAGCTACTTCAATATAGCT